CCCCGACAGTTGTCTTAACTGAAACCTTTTCAAATCAGCAAGACAATCTTTCTTCATGAGTCCACAGCTAACAAATACAGATGAGGGCTTCAGATATAACTAAGAGCACACTGCTTTATAGAATATAAGTGCATCAGACATTTCTTCAACATAAGAGAGAAACCAAAACAGAAATACAGACAAAGGAAGGGGGAAGACTCAAGAAAATTAAGAAAAAAATAAAGGGAAAAAAACCCCTTTATTTAAAAATGGCCCTCTAATCTCAGAAAGATGATGAATAAAACATCCATAAAATAAAGAACAGAATGCTGTAAAAAAGGACAGAAAATGTCCTTGGAAATTGAAATTTTCACAACCAAAGTAAAAATTCAATATACAGAGTTAGAAGAGAAAGTTGAAGAAATCTCCTAGAAAGTAATACAAATAGGAAAAGAGAAGGGCTATAGAAGAAAAATATGACTTAGAGGCTCAATCCAAGAGGTCCAAGAACTAGTAGGAGTTCCAGAAAGAGAGGACAGAGAAAGTAGGGGAAGAAATTATCAAAGAAATAATAAAAGAAAAATTTCCAGAACTAAAGTTGATGAGTCCAGGCAGTGAATGGGCCTACTGGATGTCCAGCCCAATTAATGAAAGAAAGACTTATAGTAGAACATATTCCTATGAAACTTTGGAGTAGCAGAGGTAAAGTGAACTCCTGGGTTTGGTGGGGATAGGGGTAAGGTGGAAGGAAGTAGTCACATGCCAAGAAACTGGAATCAGAATCATTAACCTTGGTTGCTGGAAGAAAATAAATTTGAAGGATATGCCATTTTCAGCTTAGAATTCTATACACAGCCAAACTATGAGTCAGTGTGTAAACAGAAAAAAAATAGATATGTAAACATTTATAAAATCTAATTCCCGTGTACCTTTTTATTAGTTACTGGAAAATGTGCTTCAGTGATGTAAGGGAATAAACCAAGAAAGAGAAAGCCATGGATAGAATCCAAAAAAAAAAAAAATGGAATCCAGTCCGGAGGAGTGGCAAAGGGAAGTCCAAGGATGACAGCTATGCAGCGGGCCTGGAGAGCGGCCAGGCCAGAACTGAATCAGAAGAATGGAAGGCTCCACAGGAGGAGGGAGGGAATGGGTGAATTATTGGATGTGCTTGGACATTCAGAAATAAAATACTGTTAGAAATAGGGAAAATCTGATGGATTTTCTAAGGAAGTAGAATTAAAAATTTAGTTCCTCAGTCACACCAGCCACATTTCAAGCAATCAATAGCCACATGAGGCCAGTGGCCACCGTATTGGACAGCACAGATATAGAACATCTCAATTATCACATAAAGTTCAGTTGTACAACACTGGCTTACAAGATGGCTTATATAGGCAAAGAATGTGCCTGTCTCCCCTGAAGAATCCTCTAAGAACTTGAGGCTCAAAATTCCAAGTATGCATAAGGAAAGGTGAGACTGAGACATACTTCGGAAAACAAGGATTAATTACAATCAGTCTTCCCCACCCCTGCCATTTTGCATAGCACACGCAGCAGCCAGGCATCATCCAACCAACAGATGAAAAAAAAATAAAAATCAAAGTGTTCTTTAAAAACTTTTAAGAGCCTAGAGGAAAGATCTTCATATATTCTGGCATACAGGGGTCTTTTGATGTAACATTATAGTAATTCTAAAATGGAGCCCATCAATCAGAAAGCTGGTCCACCTACACAGCTTTTTACTGTGTTTCTCTTAAAAATGAATAACCGAGGACCACCAGACATTTAAGGAATGCCTCCAACGCTAAAGAATATGAGCAAAGTAAAGAAACGAGTAAATGACCTTAGAGGAGATCAAGGTAATCAGAGGAGCAGAAGAAAACTTTAAAGTTACATGTTGTCCTCCAAGATCAAGGAAAATATGTTGATTAAAAACAAGAACAAAATGTTTTGAAGGAAAAATAATCAGAGATCCAAGCAGATCCCATGCAAATTAAAAATATGATTGTCGGCCGGGCGCGGTGGCTCACACCTGTAATCCTAGCATTCTGGGAGGCCAAGGCGGATGGATCGCTTGTTCAAGACCAGCCTGAGCAAGAGCGAGACCCCGTCTCTACTAAAAATAGAAAGAAATTAGCTAGACCAACTAAAAATATATAGAGAGAGAAAAAATTAGCCGGGCATGGTGGTGCATGCCTGTAGTCCCAGCTACTCGGGAGGCTGAGGCAGGAGGATTGCTTGAGCCCAGGAGTCCGAGGTTGCTGTGAGCTAAGCTGACACCACGGCACTCTAGCCAGGGCAACATAGTGAGACTCTGTCTCAAAAAAAAAAAAAAAAAATATGATTGTCAGAATTAAAACTTTACTAGAAGGGGTAGAAGATAAAATTGAGGTTAAGAACCAAAAAGTTGAACAATTAAAAAAGACCCACATCAAGGCACATCATCATGAAATATCAGAATTGCACACACATGCACAAATGCCTTCAAAGGGATGAGAATCAAAGTGGTCTAAGCTTCTCATAGTAGAGCAGTGTCTTCTAGGTTCTGAGGAAAATTATTTTCAACCTGCAATTCTCTAACTAGCCAACTATCAGTCAAGTGTGAAGGTAAAAAATAGACTTTTTCAGACAGGCAGAAACTCCAGAAAATTCTTTTCTAGTACTCTTTCCCTTAAGAAGTTATCTAAAGATACACTCCCCCAAAACAGCAGAGACAATAACAGAGGAGAAGGGGAATAGGACCTTGGCCCCTCACTGCTCTCCCACCCATTATCCCTCAGCCCTTCCCCACCCACTTCACCCTAGGCGGTCCCAGTGCTCTTCTTGTTACCCTGAGACACAGCTTTCCCAGCCTGTTCTCTGCCTGGAGTCTGCATGGCCCACTTCCTTATTTCATTCAGGTCTCTGTTCACACATCCTCTTATCAGAGAGGCCTTTTCAGTGCACTTTAGATAAATAGGCCACATTGTCACTGCACAGTCTATCTCCTGAGCTTATTTTATTTTTCTCCATAGCACTTTCTCACTATCTGTCATGTATTTTGCCTATATTCACCTGCTGCCCACACTGAATTATAAGCTCAATAATGGCAGACACTTTTTCTTTCTTGTTTATTGCTTTATCTCCAGTGCCAACGTCTATCTATAGTAGGTACTCAGTCGTCTTTTAATGAATAAACAAATAAATGAGTTAATTAACGGGGACTTAGAAAACAACGGGAACAACCCAAGAAGGCAGGTAAGGGAAATTCTAAGTTGACAGCAGTCCAGGTGAGAGCAGGTCTGAGGGCCCTGGAAAGGAGGTCTCCAAGAAAAACTGACTCAAAAGGATATTGATGGGGTGGAGAGCTGGGGAAAAAGGTAGGTATAACAAAAACATATTGGAGGAGGGCGCTATTGTAAGAATGGAAACGTGGTCTCATACACTACTTGGCTCAATGGTGAACAATATTTAGAAATAAAAACGTAAATGTATTATTTAAGTAATAGTAGAGAAATTAAAAATAAGGTATAAACATGTTGAGAAGACGGCAAGAAGGAATGTGAGGGCCATAAAGTGAGCTAAATCCTCATCTATCATAGCAGCTTGGCAAAGGTAATAATTTACTGAGAAATAACAAGATGATCATAAATGTTTAGCAGTATGGAGATAACTAGTGGACAAACAGCTAAAAGAGTTAAAGAGAAGTTTCCTCTGGGGAATGGGTCTAGAGGTAGGAAACAATGGAACAAGAAACTATGATTTTTCACTGTAAGCATTTCTGTGATGTTTGATATATAAACTGTGTGTGTGTGTGTGTGTGTGTGTTTTCTTGATAAAACTTTAAACAAGGGAAGTAGAGGCAAAATGTAAAAAAAATAATCTGGAACTAAAATTCCTTCTAATTTAAACCACAGGGTGGGGGAAGGGTGGGAGGAAGGCAGGGGAAAGTACAAGTTTGCTAAGGGCCTCCTCGTTTGGATGAGATAGCAAAAGAAAAAGTATATATAAGTTTTCCAGTGTTTAGGTAAGGCTTAACCACTATTTGAATAAAAATGGAATTTATGCTTTGAGACTATTAATAAAAAAAAGTTTTTTAAAGCCAGCGTGGGGAGGAAAACTCATCATTCATACTAAAAAAGAGTCGGAAATAGCGAAGTATAGGATATACAAACATGACTGAAGTCAGACCAAATATCTTTGATCTCAATATACACGAATATCTTTTAGTCCTTTATTTAAGAGATAGACTTTCAAACTGTGCTTTTAAAGAAGTCCACTTATGTGATTTCGAGAGTGATACTTAAAGTGACAGAAGATTGAAAATGAAGGGAAGGACGTATACCAGGCTAATGCTAACAAAAAAGAAAGCAAATTAATAATGTCAGCCAAAATGGAATTCAAGGCACAAAACATTGAATGACAATTTTCTTACCACTGTGAGAAAGCCACATAAATTCATGTTATCTCTGGCTTTCTTCTTCTTTTCCAAGTATTTGACGTCTTGAATGTGAGCATCACTTTGCTCATTTTGCAACCAGTATAATGGGACTAACCTTCACTGAAAATTCTTAGATCCTTTAAACTTATTTTTTAAAATAAACATGCCTTTCAGTTGTTTCCTTTTAAAAAAAAAAAAAAAGCCAGTATAGTTTCATGTTAATAATTGTGTGCGTTTCCTTGGTATACATGATTTATCTATCATGATTTGTGCTAATCTTTAAATCATAATAACACTTTTAGTCAGGTACAGTTACACATGTCATCTGCTGTGGTATCTGACGTTAGGCCATCAAACTGCTAAACTTTGCTACTGAGAAGCCAGATGAGGTTGAGAGAAGGTTCTTTTATAGGATATGCTCTTACTTCCAGACACCATGCATGTTGCCTGACTCGCATGCCTCTCTTGGCCTCACTGATATCTCACATCAGATAGCACTTGCCAAAAGAAAAGGAAGGAACATGAGTTTACTGAAGTTAATTTGATATTTGCGTTTATTCTGTATATTCTAAGTGTTGGACTTTTTATTTTTTAAACGTAGCTAATGTCGCCTACCTTGGAGGCCAAGAAATGATGGAGGTGGTAAAGAGAGACAACGAACCCATAAAGGAACATTTATCTAAGGTAATCACTTTGGTGCTACAAGGGGATAAATAACAAGTAGCTGGGCAGAAATATTTACTGAGGATGAAGGACTAGAATTGGTTAGAATCTGTAAAACCTCAAAGGTTTATAGGTTGAGACAGAGTTCTACTAGTTAAAATTAATGTTATCCTTGAAAGTTGCATAGAGAGTAGTAAAGCTGATTGCATAGTTCCTTAAATATATTTTGCCACCTGGTTTTGTTGAATTTATTTTTAGAATCAATACTTTTCTATTTTGTTAGTGCATTTCAGCCACTCTGGGCCTTGTACTGAGAAGACTTGCTGTTTATAGAATAAATGAGTTATGTTGAAATATAAATAAAACAGTGGAAAAGAACTAACATTATATATGATGTGACAACTAGTGAGCCTTTCTTACTCTCCCATGCATTAGAGTAGCACTGTCCTACTTTGACACCAAGACCGGTTTTCTGAAATACTCATCATTTGTAAGTTATCCTGCAAATACTAGAATCATGCACAAACACATTTAAAGCTCCAGTCTCTGAAACCATCAGGGGACTATGGTTTAGAATATGTCTAAGCACCCTAGAATTTGGGTGGCTGTGGTACTCCCATGGCATCATTTTTCTGTCCATCCTGAGTAGGAAGGAGCTGTGCTGCTCTTATACTGTAGCCACTAGCTACATGTGGTTATTTGTGGTTAGTCTGAATTGAGATGTGCTATAAGTGTAAAATACACATTGGATTTCAAAAACTTAGTACTCCCCAAAATAGTAAAATATTTCATTAATTTTTATATTGATTACACATTGAAATGATAATATTTTAGATATAGTGGATTAAATAAAATATATTGAAAGTGATTTTACCCATTCCTTTATACTTTTTAAAACATAAGTATTAGAAAATTTTTAAATTACATATGTGCCTTGCTTTATACTTCTGTTGGACAGTACTACTCTTGATCTTTACAGTTGGTGCTGAACTATGATATCTGATGGGTGCAGTGAAATGATCCCTGCTGAGTGGCAAACTTATAGGGCCCAGGAACCTAAAATCTACAAGTAAAACCTTAGATACCCTATTGGGTTTAGGATCCCCTTATAAACTGATACATTTGACTTAAACTTGCCTACAGTGTTAATTCATATTTCTATAACCTCCTAATACAATTATCTTAAAGCAAGAAGTACATATGTTCTTAAAAAAATATTTTCAGAATATTGTAAATATTCACCCAGAGAGGACTTTTGAAAATGCCAATCTGTTTTTGTCTTATGGGTGTAGTGGTCATCATATTTCTGAAATAGCAATTGACAAGAGATTGAACTTTTGAAACTAGGAGGAAGCCCTCACTAGCTGAATGGAGAAGGTTGGGGCCTTAGGAGACCCTCTCTCCAAGGCTTTCAGTTGCTCTACATCCCTTTCACATTGAGGGATGTGAAAATACAAGAAAAATGATATTTTATTTTTCGGTTAAATTATAAGTGAATCTGTTTCAAAAATGCATTTAGGTTTTCCAGATTTGGAAGTTCATAAAAACAACTCAGCTCTCAGTTAATAACAAGACTGGCAGATGCTCACTTCCAAAATTCACACTTGCTGAGTGACTAGACCCATCATATGTCAGAGCCCATCTTACCACCTGTGGAAGCCAGCTGCTATAAAATACTCATCATCTCTGGATTCTCCTTGTATGTTGTGCTCAGGAAAAGGTCAAAGAAAGGTGCTAACTTATTCCTGTCCTAAGTTAAATCCATATGCACGTGTAATCATTCCCAGATAGAGGTCTGTTCGTGGTAACTGTGTCGGGGCTGTAAGTTTACTGAAACTTTTATGGGAGAAATATGGGGGCATGATGGTAGATGGCAGACATTTCAAGGTTAGTATTAACACACAGTCATACGAATAAACTTCCAACTCCAGGGAATCGTTTTGTTTTTAAGATGGTGTTAAATGTGCCTGTAGGATTGGGGCAACAAGGAATTGTTTACATCAGTGATATAAAGCTACCTTGCAGTTAATTGATTATCTCTTCTACCAGCTAAATTTGAGCTCTCTGCTAGAATAATACAATTCTAATTCCTAAGTGAAACTAGGTACAAAGAGACAGGAAGTTTATTGCAACTTTTTGTTTCTGTAATGAAAAAGAGGAAACATGCTGTAATTTAATATTGGTAAAAGTTGAATCAACATAATGTGTCTCAGTCTGCTTGGGAAAAGGAAACTTAAAAGTGCACATAGTTCTAGGAAGATAGTGGGTGGGCATTGCCTCCTGCCTTCCAGACACCCCTGATAACTAGTCAAACTGGAAAACCAATTCCTAGGATTAGAAATCTCCCTATTTTAGATATTCTGATCAAGGGTACTCTGTGCCATTTCCACCCACAGTCATTCAGAAACTTCATACCTATCCGGGGCTGTCCCATGTGAAAAGTTTTCAAGCTGCACATTTTCTTGCAAAAATCATTCCATATATCTCAGTTTCAACTTAAAACAGTTCTGAAAAATGTATCTTTGTGCTATCCAGCCAGGATGCCACAGAAAAGTGAGTCTGAAAATACTCTCTTTACTGTGTCATGCAGATGACTCTCTGTTTCTTTCTCCTCCCCTAGAAAACTGTCATGCTGTTATCAGCAGGCTTTAGTTCCAAATTCAAAATTTCTACCTACTGATTTCCATTGCCCACATGAAGAGGGCTTTTTATATTCTTGAGGAAAATAGGGGTTTTTTTTGTTTTTTGTTTTTTTTTTTTTTTAGAGACAGGGTCTCGCTCTGTTGCCAAGGCTGTAGTGCAATGGCCCGATCATAACCACCATGCCCACTGGTTTTTTTATTTCATGTAGAGACAGGGTCTCCCTATGTTGCCCAGGTTGATCTCAAACTCCTAGCCTCAGCAATCCTCCCGCCTCAGCCTCCCAAAGTGCTGGGATTACAGGTATGAGGCACTGCACCTGGTCAGGCCTTTTTTTTTTTTTTTAACTCTGAAAAGTTTACTGGGCTGATTGTCTTCCTTCCAAGGTCTAGAGTCTTTATACACAGTATTCTACAGTTGTGGTTTTTTGTGGTGCTTCAACATAGGATCAAGTTATTTCCCTTTCCTGCAGCAAATGTATCAGACTCACAGTTGTTTCCAAAAGCGCATACCATGGTTTATGACATCATAGGTTATGTTACTTCTTCACCTGACTACATCCTACTTGTCCTTTAAAACTTGGCTTGAGTGGCATCTCCAAGAGGCCTCAGCTTCTGGTTTGGCCAGATGTCCCTCCATTGGCCCCCATGGCTCCCTATGTAAAGTTATAGTACCTCATTTGCCACACAGTATTTAAATGATCCAGCTTCCCCTCTCCCCCACCTTGAGGTAAGGAACTGTGTTTTCCTCATCTTGATGTCCTTTTGGACCTAGCACAATTCATGATACCTGGTAAACAGTCAATGAATATATGCCAGATAGATGAGCAGAGAGACAGATCGATGGAGAAGCCATTAATTAGAGCATGGATTCTGAACCTTTTCTGTGCCATGGATCTTTCTGGCTTTCTCATAAAGTATCTCAGAATAAGGTCAAGTGCATAAAATAAATACATGAGATTACAACAGAAACCAATTATATTGAAATATAGTCATCAAAATATTTTAAAAACAAATATGTGATATGGTAATGTATGCATCTTTATTTGTACATTGAATATTGAGATATAATCTCATCAGAATTGCTATTGTAAATTTGTAATGATGAATATAAACAATTTTTTAGTTATCTACAGCAAGTTTACTATCATTTGAAAATATCCATAATTTATAGATGACAAAATATAGGCATTACAAAAAGTATGGTTTGTTGCCTGTATTTACAATTGAAGGAAATACTAAATTATAGTCAGAAGTTAAATAAAGATGTAATTCTCTTCCAAGTTTACATAACAGCTCCTCCCTACCCATGGACCTGCCTGGACCCATAGACCGCGACTGAAGAAGCCCTGCATTAGAGAAACTGGAAGTTGGATAGCGTAATACTGTGGCTTGGGCAGTGGCCTAAGAACAAGAAGCCATGATATGCTACACTGAAGAGATGATTTTAAGTTGTCGGGGATCCATTGAAGGGTTTAAGCAAGGGAGTAACAATCAGGGTGATAATCAAAACATTTGACAACCACATGACATAGCCACTGACAATCAGAACGTGTGCCAGCTGTGAACAACCAGTTCGCAGGTACCAATTCATATCAGTTAGCCCTAAGAATGTGCCAAGATTAACAAATGAGAGGGATTATTTTTGTGGAAATGTTGAATATTGGGAAAGGATATAATTTGAGTTGAGGAGACTATTTACAAGGCTTTTATAAGAACTAAGGCGGTAGGATTGGGAATGGAAAGATTTAAGAGGTAGAATCAAAGGCACTTTGTACTAATGGAGATGGAGGAATCTAAGGTTATTTCTCTGTATCTGGATTTGGTGACAAGATAGGGAATACGGGAAGAGAAACAGCCACAAGTTGTGGGAGGTGGTTGAGCAAATCATTCATTTTGGCACTCATGTTTGAGACACCTGTGGGACATCAGAGTGGACACGTGTCTGGCAGTTTCTGGACATGTGGGTGTGAAGCTTAGAAGGATAGTCTGGGCTGAATTTGAATGAGACGTGATGAGGCTGGAGTTGAAGCCACAAGCACGGATGACGGCAGCCTAAGGAAGTATGCAGAATAGGAGAGAAGACATCTAACAATTGATCCGTGGGGAACCCCGCTTAAGGGTTGGGAGGAAGACAAGGAGCCAGTGATTAAGATGGGAGTGGAGGGCAGAGGGTGGGAATGAGAACCACAATGGAATAAACCAAGGGAAGAGAACCAACTGTACATTTTCACCATCCCAGTCCCAATTTGTCTGGAAGCCTCTAGGGTATGCTCTGCTTTATGAGGCACCTGGCGTGTTGGAGGCAAATAAGAGGTCAGTGTTCCCTTGTTCTGTCGTTGTTCTGAGCCATAAGGGGATGTGTGTCTCATTCATTGAAAA